CTGGGACAAGAGCAAGCAAATGTAGCAGGACCTCAAAAGGCATAACTTAATAAGGCACAAAACAAAGCTAAACTCACGATGAAATAATTTTTTCCTTTACTTGCCTCATCCTAGACTTCAGAAAGCAAAACTGAAGAGAATTTTCTCCACTCTGAGGGGAAAAAGAACCCAAATCATTTATAGAGGCCCAGGGAGCGGGGGGAGTTAAGTACTAATTGAGCAAATATAGTGTATATACACTTAGGAGTGTATAAGAGAATTCTGTTTGCCTGGGTTTTTATGTACAGGAAAGATTGTGTTACATCTTTTACCACACAACCTAAAGAGTGTGGCAGCAGGAGACAGCCAGAGGCCCTCAGAGACGCCACAGCCGCCCTGAATAAACCAGAGCAGTTGGTGCTGGGCCACTGCCAGTCTCCCCACATGAAAACGATGCTCCCTCCCATCCCCAATGAGGCTCGGGAGCGGGGGCAGGAATTAATCTTCCCAGGTATTGTCTCACCAGGAAGCTTAAGAGGACTCAGGTGCGCGCAAGGCAAGCAACCCACATGCTCGTAAGAGCCTGAAAGACCCCGAGGCCCAACCCGGTTCCAGGCCGACACAGCGCAGCGTTATGCGCACAAGGCTCGTGTTGCCCTCACCCTCCTCCGCCCCGCCGAGCCTCCTCGCTCTCCTCCACCAGGCAGAGCCGCTCCTGCCCGGCGGCGAGGACGCCTGGAGAACCTGGGACCGCTCACCTTGTGCTGGGAGCTTCCTGACGCAACTGGGACCCAAGTCCGACACCGCCCGGACCTGGTGACCACCATGCTCCCGACTCTGTATTCCCGGCAGCCAGCGCGGCTCCCTCGGCTCCGACGCTTCGGAAGTGCGTCAGACACAAGGGTCTCGCTTACGCTTCCCGGCGGAAACTGCGGCCCGGGAGAATGGTTCCTATCGGGTTCGGGTACCGTTCTAGACAGGGATCGCCGTGGAGGATTGTTCCGCGCGTCCTCCACCGTGCTCTCTACGGCGGTAGAGGCTTGCGTTTTACACAAAATAGGAAGTCGCATTCTTTAACCCTCCTTTCCATCGGTCTTCTCCTGTGCAGCCATTGTAAGATCTTTGGCATGAGTCTCGACTGAAACCAAAGGGAGACTTCTTTTAGTACTTTTAGAAAACACTTAATATTTGTGAAGTTAAATAGAAATGAGATTTCGAGATTTGATTGGGATACAAGGATGTGTGTCAAGTGAACCCTGGATCTCGGAGTATAATTAGAAAGCTCGGGATTTAACTAAGATGTCTCCGGATTTGAAGTAATCGTTTAAAAAAAAGAAAGAAAAAGAAAATAAATTGTGAAAGAGAGAGAAAAAACTTTTTCCCACAATGGAAAGAAGAGACTGACTGGCCCAGATCGAAAAGGTTTTAGTTTTGTTTGTTTTGCAAGGTCTCTCCACATAGCCCTGGCTGTCCTGGAAGTCACTATGTAGACCAGGCTGATCTTGTACTCAAAGATCTACCTGCCTCTGCCTCCCAAGTACTGGGATCAAAGGCGTGCGTCTTCACACCTGGTTGAAGTGTTCAATTTTGTTTTGCAGATGAAAGATAGATAACTAGAATATATTGAGAAGCTACAAAAGCATTGATGAAGAAGTAAAAGAAAATGTTGGGAGCAAGAAGAGATGTGGCTCATCAAATCTATTTTCCTTTACTTTTTAAACACAAAGTAATTTTTCTTAAAAACACGCATTTCAGTGGGTACATTGCTTCTGAGTTAAGTAGCTCCTCTTCCTGCTCCTTGGAGGCAGGTATGCATAGTGACCGAGATTGTTTTGTTTTGTGCAGCCCTGGCTGTCCTGGAACTCGCTCTGTAAACCAGGCTGACTTCGAACTCACATAAATCACCCGTCTCCCGGGTGCTGGGATAAAGGCTTGTGCCATCACCGCCCAGCCATGACCAAGTTTTGATTGTTAAAAGTTGTCTTAAATTAAAACATGAGACTCGTGCTTAGCAAAGTGGCTTGTTTTCTCCTGGAGAATTGTCTCTGGTTTTCTAGCAGCCATTGTGTACCATGAGGATGCAGCCTGTGCTTTGGGAGTCGCATAAATGTTAAGAACAAGAATATGTGTTCCTTTAACTGGAACTTGAGTCAATCTCCTGTCTTCACACTCTTTAAGACAGGCGAGGCTTAGTGAAAACACTGGCAACAATGAGAGCTGTTACTTTTCAGTTTAGGTTTAAAAGAGTTCCATCTTATTCTCTGAGCCATCTGGGGACAGCGCACTGCACGATGTGAGCTACGCTAGGGTGAGGCCTATGAGGGAAGGAAGTTTCTGGCCAAAATACCCAGTGAGACCTTCAGTCTGATAAACTGTCTAAGAGTGGAATGGTGTCATATGCTAAGTGTACACTTGATTTTATAGGAAATGCCAAAGCCAGGGATGGTGGTACATGGCTTACAACCTCAGCACACGTAAGGCTTAGACAGGAGCACTCAGGCCAGTCTGAACTACCTAGCATGGTCGTGTCTCGAAAACAAAAGCAAAATGAAGAAATGCCTGGGTATTTTCCATAGTGGTGGTTTTACTCTCACGGACATCCGAGAGCTACATCTGCATCGTGTTCTCACCAGCACTTGCTGTTGTCAGTCTTTCATCATTAGTGACATCTCATTATAGTTTAATCTGCGCTTTTCTGATGATAATTATGTCCAACATGTTTTAATAGTTGCAGGGCCCTGGGTTCAATCTCCATCACCATTGAAAAGGAAGATTGAATATGAAATATATTTGTGCACACTACAGATAACAACTTTTCGTTTTAAGCAGATATATGGGGAGTATTTTGAGATTTGTGTGTACCGTGTGTGTGACTGGTGCCTCCAGGTCAGAAGAGGACACTTGATCTCCTGAAATTGGGGTTACAGATGTTGGTGCTGGGACCTGAATCTGGATCTTCTCCAAGAGCAGCAAATGCTCTTAGCCACTGAGCCATCTCTTCAGCCCCCAGAAGACTCATTTTTAAAGGTTATCCAATAACTTAAGGATTTGGAGTAAAAGAATGTTGTGGAATATTTTAACTGGACAAAGATGTGTTATATTTATGCTGTGGTATATTACTTTAACTGCATAAATGTGTGTTCCTTTAATTATGCTGCATTTGTGCAATTATTTAAAGATGTATTGCTTTTGTTTCATCTTGCCTGCCTAAGGCATCTGACTGGTCTAAGAAAAAGGTGACCGGCCAATAGCCAGGAAGGGGAAAGGACAGACAGGGCTGGCAGGGAGATAGAGTAAATAGGAGAAATATAAGCTCAAGAGGAAAAATGAAAGGAGAGAACAAGAGGCATGCCCAGGGCAAGAAGTCAGGCAGATGCCAGTCAGACATAGAGAAAATAAGATATACAGAAGCAAGGTAATAAGCCATGAGGCAAAAGGTAGATAAAGAGAAACAGGTTAATTTAAGTTAAAATAGCTAGCTAAAATGTGCCTAAGCTAGGCTGAGCATTCAAAACATATAAATAGTAAGTCTCCAGGTCATGATTTGGGAGCTGGCTGGTGAACTAAAAGAAAAAGCCTGGTACAAAAGAACAATGGAATCACGTAACAATTCCATCCATGAATATTTTCTTCTGCACATGATCCCTTCACAAAGTGAACCCATAATTTGTGCTTTATTTCCTGTTGGGAGTAGAAGAGAAGACCAAAACAAACTCTGGCTAACATCTGGATACATCAGCAAAGGAAGGTTTCTCAGATTGTCAAAGAAACTCTTCAAAAATCCAGGTTTTAAAAATAAAGGTGATACCAAGTTCCCCTCAGAGTAGTTCGGTCAACTCACTGCACAGACTTAAAATACAACATGTTGTGGGATGTCCTTCTATATATATGTTGCTTTTATTGGTTGATGAATAAAGCTATTTGGGCCAATGGTTTAGCAGAGTAAAGCCAGGGGGAAATCCGAACAGAGATATATAGAGAGTAGGCAGAGTCAGGGAGACACCATGTAGCTGCTGAAGGAGACAGATGCCAGAACCTTAGTGGTAGGCCACAGCCTTGTGGTGATACACATATTAATAGAAATGGGTTAATTTAAGATGTAAGACTAGCTAGGAATACACCTAAGCTATTGAGCAAACAGTGTTGTAATTAATACAGTTTTTGTGTGGGCAGACAAGAACAAAAGAGCAGCCTCGGCTTACAACATTATATATGAGATTTATGCCATATGAAAACACATACATTTCCAAATTTAAGTTACCTATATATTTAGCATTATGTACAATCAGTATAATTATTGGCTTTCAGTTTGAATTCTATATAAGTTTTAGCAAGCAACTCAGTTGGTTTCACATAATTCTAATTGAGAAAGTCATCTAATCAGTAACCATAAAGCCTTACTTAGGATAAAGGTCTACTGTGTTGACTTAACATAGACTATAGTTTTAAGTTGAAAATCTCTGAGCAAAATGTTTTACAAGGCCTATGTTTAAGAATACTGATATACAAGATCTCTTTTAAAGAAAAACCAAGACTGGGTAACAAGCACAGATTTGTAGCCCAAGACCCTATGGTGTGCTACAGGTAAGCGCATGGCTTCTTTGCAAACTTTCAGTTTTTACACTAGTATGAAATTAAACTGAATGATTCCCCTCAGTCTTCCCTGGCTTTACTCTCTCCTCATCAGTAATGAATAGGTACAGACAACACGTTTTACTTAGCTGACTCTTACATCGTCTCTCCAGGGCCACAGTGCCAAGTACATGGTGTGAACACAATAGAACTAGTGAACGCTCTTGAACGCACAGTGACACATAAGAATGCATTAAGAGCCCCAAAGAATCTGAAGATGACAGTAGTTCTTTTTCTAAACTCCCAACAATAATGCTAAAGCATCAAGCCTCTCTCTCAGATTCCCTTTGTCTTGCCTTTGTAAAGAATAGGTGAAAGAAACACGACACAGAGCACATGGTCAAATCACAGTTGAGCTGCAAGTAAGAACACACAAGATTAAGTTTCCATTCATGGATCAAAGAATGAATTTTATTTACATTACTAGTAGATCGCAGCTGCTGTAGTTACTCTGAGATAGATTATTTTGCCAATGACAGGAAAAAATATCTTCCAGTATCTAGTTTAACAATTGTAATTTAATTGCTTAGTTATAGAGTATAGAGTAAGAAGCAATTAATGAATCTTGGAAATAAAAAATATGTATATATATCACCCTGATGCCCAAGCCAAAATATATCTAAAAACAAATTTTCTTGATTTCTATTACTCATAAAAATAAAGGAAATATATTGCAAGTACTTTTCTTTATAGACAACTTCAGTTAGAAAACAATAGTTTAATGAAAACAATACAGTGGTTCCTGTGGGCGCTGAGGCGAAGGCAGAAGTGTTCAAACCTCGACAGCACACTGCTGGACAACTGAATATAATGCCTCAACTGCACCTGGTATAGGCAAGAGCTAGATTTTTTTACACATCTCAATTTTCTCTTACAAATTTTTATCTTATATCTGAGATAAATACAGGTCAGTAAGTTATGAGCTTGAGTTGTAGTTAAGAACCCCTTCTTTTGGCTTGCAAAATGTAGCCTTTTGACTTGATGATTCCTCTGCTTTTCACAATGACGGAGTATCTCAGCAGCCACAGTGGCACCCACTCCTGGGCTTCGATGTCGGGGATGCTTTCCTGAAGAGCTTCTTGGAAACTCGCCTCAGAAAGTAGTTCTAAAACAGCAATCCCAACAAGTCAGGTCTGAAGACAAAAACTCTTGATTATGTAAGTAAGCATTTCAACAATAAAACTGAGTACAGGGTCAGAAAATTAGCTGCTGGCAGCATGCTTGCCGAGAATGTACCTGGTATTGTTTGCCCCACCCCCATAAACCAGCTCTGATGGCACAGAGCTGAAATTAAGTACTTAGGGATGGAGGCAGGAGGGTCAGAAGTTCAGGTCATTCTTGGCTATATAGTGACCTCCAGGCCAGCATGGCTGCAGGAGACCCTGTCTTAAAAGACAAACAACAAAACTGAATATAAAATACATGTATCCTCTAAGCTGAAATACAATATTAAATGCAACCAGTTCTTTTAAAACGCATCCCTGTACCCCAGTCTCTTTAGTTCATAACTTTTGGTTAGTGGAGTCTGGAGTTTGCAATCTTTGAAGATCTCCAGGGGATTCTAATGTACAACCAGGGAAAGTACAGGAGAGTACAAAGGAAATAAATCATTCCTAACCCTATTAATAGCATTTCTAGTACTATATATTTAATCAGGATTTTTTTCTAGTATGTGTTCATCTACAGACACACACACACACACAGAGGGGGGGATGATTTGCACAATATTATATTTAATTACATGAGAAAATAATAACACAAACACGAAAAGATGTAACTACAGAAGGATTTAACTCCCCACTAGTATATTTGGTATATATAATAACATAGTCTTCACCACTGGCAAAAAGAAATGTAGTTTTTTCTATTACTCTGAACTTTTGCTTTGGCCACAGCACAATATTTAAGTATATTCATCAGAGCATTACTCCCATTGCTTAAGAAACAAACAAAAACATGTGGGCTCTAGAGAAATGGTTTAGTTCATTCGCATGCTCTTGCACAGGATCCTGCCGACTGATTTACAACTCCACCACTGCAGAGACAAAGCTAACGATGGGTGTTTAAATTAACAACACTGAACACTCATCATAGCACACACTTCAGATTTCAACATTTGTTTTCTTTTTTCTTTTCTAAAATTTGTGTGCACTATGTTGGGATCAAACCCAGGCTGTGTGCATTCTAGGCAAGCATTCCAGAAGTGGCCTGAACCTCCAGTCCCCCAAATAAACAGCTTTTGTCTTCCATAAATGAAAACATCAGCCTTACCTTTCGGGTCATTATGAGTCAGTAGCTGTATGTCAAATTGTTTAGCAAATGCCGTCAAATCTGGTGGCATCACACAGCAGGAGGCAAGATTAACTTGATTACTATTTGGCTTTACCTAAAAGTGGAAATAAAATGAATTGTATTAAATTATGTCTTATCGAACACAGAAAGCAGAAAACTAATATTCACAGTAGCTAAGGAACTGAACTACATGTCCATCAACAGAATGCGTACAGAAAACATGATCCATAAGCACCGTGAATTCCAGTCACTATAGAGGAAAGGAAACTGTGACACTGGCCGGGCAATAACCAGAAGCAATCACGTGAGTGAAGTAGGCTGGGCTCAGAAGAGCCTTCTTCACATGTCAGGCTCTATGGACTCCTGTGTATGCATCTAGGGCATTACTAAAAAGGGGAGGGAGAGCTCTTGACGGGGTGAAAGAGAAGAATGGACTACAGTAAGGAAAGAAAGCAGCCCCATGAGGAAGCATGGTGAGATGGGAATTAACTAGAACTTAGTACACTGACATATATATGAAAATGCTATCATGCTAATCTATTGCTTTGTGTGTTTAGTTAGACAATTCTGTGTCTTCGTCTGCGTATGTGTGTAGACTGGTGCATGTGGAGGTCAGAGGCTAGTATCAGGCATTTTCCTCAGTCACTCTCCTCCATATTTTTGGAGACAGGGTCTCTCAATGAACCTGGAGCTCACTAGTTCAGCTAGACTGGCTAGCCATCCATCAATCTCCAGGAAACCTTCCTGTCTCTGCCTTCTCCACAGCTGGTATCATAGGCAGGTGTTGCCTTGATAGGTATTTTTAACGTGTGCTTTTTTGGGTTGCTAGGAATTGAACTTAGGTCCTCATGCTAATATAGCAAGTACCTAAGCCACTTCCCTAGCCTCCACTTTTTAAAAAAGAAAGCAATACACTTTAGAATATAAACCATATTTAACAATTCTTCACTGATAAAATACTTCTGCATGACTATCTATTAATATACGCCGTCCTAATCCGTGCTAATGATAACGAGGAAAACAGCTCCAGGATGAGGGAAAAACCAATTTTTGGTATTACACTTACCATTAAGATTCAAATTAAAGCCTGCTGGAATCATTAGTAGTCCAGCCCATCTGTCTCTGAAGCAGTGATTCTAAGTGTAATGGTTTTAGGAACAGGGAATCTACAAGGTAGACACTGAATTTCCAGGTATAAACTGTGGCTACTACTCAGGCATTTAAGGAAACTCCTAACTTCCAGCAGCCGTTGGCTACTGTTATAGCCTTCCTAGATCACTAAGTCTCCAGCTGTATCTTGGCCACATACTGCTACCAAGTCAACAAGAGAAGGAACAATGCAATCGTCCTTGCAATGCAATCAACTCTGAGGAAGCAGCTGAGAATGAAATAAAAGAAATAGAGACAAGATATAGAAAATAAACGTGGGGTGTGGGTAACCTCCCTCATAACTTTGTAGGTTCACAGAGTGGGGAGATGGCTTTATGATTCCTTCTCCATATCAGGTTCTATAGACTAAGTCTAATACCTCTTACTTAATAGGAAAATACTGTTACATTTATTTCCTTACTTAAGAAATCAGAGCCATAATGCCCACAGTGTAATATTTTCATCACATGTAAAGCTGACTGAATGGTTTTAATTCACTTGCTCTGAAAACTTAGCATTTAGTGTTTCCTTCATTCATTTTAAGCAGGATTAATACTCAGTTCAATTACACATACCCAACTCCAAACCCCAAGCTCCTAATGCCTTAGATAAAGCCCATCTCCGAGCTCCCACGTGTAGACGTCAGCCACAGTGAACACGCGCAGGTGTCGGCATGCAGACGTGCTCTACCTGTGCCCACTGGTACAGCTGCTCCAGCTGGGTTTTGTCGAGATCAGAGGTGCCGATGGCAACAATTTTCTTGCTCTGCACTAAGTTTTCTAGCTCCTCCCAGTAAGGCTGCAGATGCTCCAGGGAAAGGTTCACTCCATCTTCAATGGGAGGCGAAGCGATGATGACCGAGTCCAGCTGTGCGACTCCAAGGACTGAGCACGCTGACGGGAGGAAGACACGGACAGGACAACTGCGTGTTACAGGCTAGAGACAGGTATTACCGTCTTCAACACAGTCTGCTGAATTCCATGTCATGGTCGAGTTTTCTGTACAGTAGATTACTGCATAATTTACCTGTCGTTTACAGCATGTCTCTAAGTGCCCATTCACCTACTTCTCTGTGCAGCAGACAAAGTCTCTGACCTGCCCTCTTCCTTGTGGTTTTCCTTCTTTATTTTTAACTAACCAGGTGCTGGAAATGAATCCACAGTATTTGTACTCTGTTGTCTCTATTTTTAGTATTTTATCTATAGAATAATATTTAAATGATTACAAAGAAATTTCATCCTCAAGCAGATAACATTAATACATCTTTTACACTTCTATCAAAATATCACTTTATGTAATTAAAGATTGGTTCTATGCAAGTCTTTAAAGTTTGGGTAGAAGTTTAAAAGGTAAAATTGAAATCATCTTTATCTAGATTAAAATAATTAAAGTCCATTATTATAAGAGGGATAAATTTTTGCTTACCCATGTCAACAGCACTTCTAGTTGATGATGAAGAATTTGATCCTACAATGAACAGCTTTGCTGGATAACAAAGAAAATGTTGATTACCACATGTATCCACATCTCATTTACACTCCCATGTCCACATCCTACCGTGCGCTCCCGTCTCCACATCTACTGTGCACTCCCGTGTCCACAGCCTACTGTGCACTCCCGTGTCCACAGCCTACTGTGCACTCGTGTATCTACATCTTAGTATGCAGGATCACCATGGCAGAAACTAGTTTTCCTTTCTACTTCGGTAGTTGCATAGCTCCACTTTAGGAAAGACACATGCACTTTCACCTTAAATTTTAAATTACAAGCTAGCTGTCAACATGTTTATTTTTCAAGACTAAAACAAATAATTTCCCATGCATTATAGGGCAGGGTAGAAAAATAGAACCTGAAATTATTTTAAATGTCTATTTTTATAAGCAAAGCATTATGGATCAATTTACATGACTTCTATAATAAGTGAAATCTAAGCAAGCCTCAAAGTGTGTAATGAGAAGAAAACTGGATATATATACATGCCTATGTGCATAGATGTATATATACATATATACACACATATATACATACATATATACACATATCCACAATATAAAGCATGGTATAACTTTTTTAAAGCTCTAGTTGGTTTTTTAAGTTTTTTTAAAAATGATTTTTAATTATGTGCATGCGCAAGTACACAAGTGCATGTGTCTTCAGAGCATCAGGCCCCTCTGGAGCTACAATTGCAGGTGTGAGCTGCCTGACACGGGTGCTGGAAACCCAACTCCAGTTCTGTGTAAGGAATGTGTGCCCTTCCCTGCCGAGTCATCTCTGAGCCCCATCTGGTTTGTCTTTGGGTGGTAATATTTTATGTGTTTCTGTGCAGTAGTTAAAGTTTTCCTAGTGATGATGTGCTTACTCCTCAAATGAGGAAGATCAAAGTAGAAAGACGAAAAAAGAAGTGAGCAGTATTATGAGGCAAAGCTTTTAAGAATCACTTCTTTAGTTTCCCTTCAGTGCTGCAGATCAAACTCATATGTATGTATACAACCCTATGTTTTTAATGCATATACACACTAAAGAAAGTTATTTTGAGACAAGGTCTCCTTTTTTTAAGATTTATTTATTTAATGTACACTAGTATTCTGCCTGTATATACTGTTTCAGGGTGTCGGATCCCCTAGAACTAGAATTACAGACAGTTGTGAGCTGTCTTAATTAAGAGTGGTTTAATGCTCTTAAACCACTGAGTCATCTCTCCAGCCCAAGGTCTCCTTTTATACACAGCCCAGTCTGCCTCCAAAATCACAATCCCCCTACTCTCGCCCTCCTGAATGCCAGGGCTGCAGGTGCACCAACCACGTCCAGTTTTCATTTCTCAGTCTTGAGCATTATTCTGCAATCTGACGGGATAGCTCACTAAATGGGTTCCTGCCTACTCAATATTTATGTTAGTAAATGTTCCACTGGCAGCTCCAAGTTTTGTTACATAAACAGCTTGGTAACTTTTTATTCGGCTTTATACTGATTCATTTCCCAAAGAAGAGCTCTTAGAAATGTGACTGAGTCAAAGGACTGGCGCACTGTGTCTTCTGTGTTCATCCGCCTTCTACTTTGGCAGCCATGTCTCAGTTTACCAGACCATCAGCAACTAAGAGTTGATCCCTTACAATGCAGGAGAAACAACCAGGAAAATCAACATAAACAATCTGAAAACCTCTGAGATCTAAAACATCTTTAGTTCCAAGCAGTAAATTTGTACTAATTTCTTAAAATTTAGCAGGCATAAAAAGTAGCCTTCCAAGGGTTATAGTTCGCTATTTCTTTGGCTACTTGTTGTGGAATATTACTTTAACTGTGTGATGGTGTGTTACATTTGTTTTTGCTGCCTCTGTTAATGATGTAAAGATGTGTTAGATTTGTTTCACCTTGCCTGGTGAAACACTTGCCTGGCACTTGACTGGTCTAATAAAAAGCTGAACGGCCAATAGCTAGGCAGGAGAGCAATAGGAGGGACGGGAAGGCAAAGAGAATAAGTGGGAGAAGAAATCTAGGCTAGGGAGAGACGAAGGAAGAGAACTAGGAGAAAGAGAGGAGACAACCAGAGCCAGAAACCAGGCAGCCGCCAGTCAGACATAGAGACAGCAGGAAAAATATAAAGAAACCTAAAGAGAAAGAGATGAAAATAAGAGCTAAGATAAGGTCAAGCATCCGTAACTAATACTAAATCTCCGTGTCATGATATAGGAGCCGGTTGGTGACTCAAAAGAAAAAGCCTGGTACATTTACTAGAAAGTTTTTGTTTTTAATTTATGTGTGTACTCACACACATATGTAGGTTAGGTGGCTATGGAAGTCAGAAGTGGGGGTCAGAGCTCCTGAACTAGAGCCACAGTGGTTATGAGAGAACCAAACTTAGGTCTTCTGGAAGAACAGTCAGCACTCTTTAGACCTGAGCCATCTCTCCAGTGTTGGAAATTGATTAATTTTCAATGTATGTAAAGAAACATACATAAAAGATTAAAGCTCTGGCTTAATTTACACTCAACTTTGTATGTGCATGTTTATATAAACCTACTGTCTACTGAGCAAATTTAGATTTCTGAACAAATGTGAAAATAGTATGAAAACAATGCAATAATGAGAAAGGGGATAACAAAAAGGCTTGTCTTAGGCTTTCTACTGCTGTGAAAGACACCACGACAATGCAACTTTTATAAAGGAAAACATTTAATTAATGTAGATGCTTATCATTTCAGAGGTTTAATCTATTATCATCATGGCAGCGAGCATAGAGGCTGGGAGTATGGCGGTGCACGGGCAGACATAGTGCTGTGCTGTGGAATAATCCTTCTGTACACTGTAAATATGTATTACTCTCATTGATTAGTAAAAAGTTGACAGGCTGGTAGCCAGGTAGGAAGTTACATGGGAAAGCCAAACTGAGAATGATAGGAAGGAGGAGGGTGGAGTCAGGAGAGACACCAGTCAGCTGCTGAGCATGCAGAATATAGAGAAAATGAAGTAACAAGTCATGAGTCATGTGGCAAAGGCATGGATAAGAAATATGGGTTAATTTAAGTGTAAGAGTTAGTTAGTAATAAGCCCAAGCTATCGACTGAGCACTTATAAGTAATATAAGTCTCAGTGTGGTAATTTGGAAGCAGTTGCTGGGATGGGAAAACTCGACCTACAGTGTTGGAGAATTCTATATCTTGATCCAAAGGCAACAGGAAGTGAACTGTGTCACTGAGCATGGCTTGAGCATGTGTAAGACCTCAAAGCCCACCTCCACAGTGCCACACTTGCTCTGACAAGGCCATGCCTACTCCAAGAAAGCCACACCTCTTAATAGTGCCACTCCCTATGAGCTTATGGGGCAAATTCAATTCTAACTATTACAGCACTTATACAGTGACTAGCGTTCAACATATGCAGCAAATGTCCCTGTGTACTTGTTTATCTGCCCCCTCTTTCTACTACCAGATCTTCCCAAAACATCCAGGTCCTGCTGTTACTCCTGACAAGCAGCCATTGGAGTGCCCTTAGCAGATAAGTCAATGTTCTCAAACTAAATTCAGCATTAGAGCCCTCGAAAACTTTGCCTTGTTGGGGTACAGCTTGATGGTAATGCGTTTGTCTCACATGTGTGAGGCCCTAGGTCTTATCCTCCTCCCCCCATTACTAATCCTTGGTCCCTAAATTTCACCCTCTGGAATGGCTTTCTCTCTCTCTGGAAGGTAGGGTACACTGAGATACAAAGAGGCAAGCTTCTCTTAGGGTAAAAATTTTATTACCTATCAAAGTTCTCAAACCCTACAGAAATGGAGGACAACCTGGAGAAGGCTCGAGACAGTAATGAGCTACATACAGTCAACCACACAGGAATGTTGGCTTTACTTCATTTCCTACACAAGCAGTGATGTGAAGGTAACAGAAGAGACAGGTTTCAGAGTCAGGCACACCTTCATAGCCAGGTGGTTCATCAATTCACTGGCTGAAAGACAGCTTTCTTTTTGCTTTCTTAACTGGTGGGGCCTCATTATCCTGCTAGGCTGGATAAAACTTCTAAATCCCCACATCAGCCTCCCAAGTAACTGGAACTATCGTTATGTGCCACTACACCCAGGCCTACGCTAACTTTCATGCTAATTAACGTTACTGGTGTGATGGGAATAATGGTCCTGATAGGTTTGTTTCGATAAATATGAGGAAATATAATCATAAAGGGACAGTTCAGTGCTTAGCATAAAGCAAGAGTCCACAGATGGCATTGTAATTGGAACGAAAAGGCCATTCCTATTTTATAATCCCGTCATGTGTCCCTGTCAATGTTAGTAATAACACTGTTATTCTTTACTACCTTGTGGCAAGCACTGCCCTAGCTATGAGCCTCTTTTGTTCCTTCATCCATACTATAAAGAAGCCTGTAAAACAACTGAATCCCATTGCAGAGATAAACAAACTGAGGCTCAGAGAGGCTGAACACTTGCTAACCCTAGACCATTCTAGTCAATAACCTACACATCCAGGAACTTGAATCTAGGCAAGCTCAGGAGTTACTGAGCCCTGCTACTACGCTGCCTGTAAGCTGAGGGCAGAAACTATTAGCTTCCCACCGCTGACACAGAGCAGTCACGAACACTGCTGGATGTATGTATACTTCACTCTCCCCGCAGAGCTGGCTGCCCAGACTTCCTTCTGGACTCCAGGCAGCGTCAGCACTGCTCACCAGCACCCAGGAAGGGGAGATCTGCTCACTCTGCACAGACGCTGCGCCTAACTGTCCCCTCTCCTTTCCGTTTTCTACTTGAGTCTCTCCACTACTGAGTACACATGAAATCACACAAGAAATAGAAACATCAGGAGGAAGACTAAGTCAAAGTTTCATTCTGACTCCATGGTCCTCAGCTCTGACTTCCTATGACTCACTCCTAAGAGTTGACATTAGACTGGCCTTCGTCTGGTTTCCTCCTAATGACCGACCCCTGGCTGTCAGAAGGATTTGCTCTCATGTCCCTCAGTCCACAGCACAGGAGAGTGACCGGTCAAGGGGGCGCTTACCAGACACTTTCATTTCTTCTCTTTCATCAGGGTTAATCTTCTCAACTGCGTGGGACACAGTGCATTCCAAGACATCTGGAAACTCCTGCAGGAAACACAAAGTACAATGGACATAAAGTTAGCCCTGCTGATGGTAAAGTTTCTGAGTGTCCTAAGCATTTCAGGAGAAAAAATCTTTTTGTGGTCTAATGAACTTTATAAGCATAAAGTGCAGATGTTGAGAGAGAATTTCTATTTTCTGGAGAAAAAGTCTCATTTTGGCCAGGTATTACCAAAAATTATTAAAGCAAACAAGCAGAAGAGTGTAGAGTTATGTGAGGTGTTAGACTCACTGGCACAGAAGAGAATTTTACTTTAAAATCAATGAAAATTACCTATTTTGAATAATGGCATGTTAAAATCTTCTAAAAATCTTTGATATACAAAGTGTCCTAGCTGCTATTCTATTGCCATGAAGAGACACCATGACCAAGAGAAAGCATTTAATTAGGGGCTGCTTACAGTTTTAGAGAGGTAGTCCATGATCACCACGGCAGGAAGCAGACAAGCACGGCACTGGAGCAGTAGCTGAGTGCTCTACATCCTGATCCACAGGCAGCAGGCAGAGCCAGAGACTGAGCCTGGCATGGGCCTGTGAAACCTCCATGCCCACTCCCAGTGACACACCTCATCCAACAGGGCCACACCTCCTAATCCTTCCCAACAAACATATGAGCCTAATCTGCACCAAAGGTTTGGCAGGCTTACTTGAGCGGACTGACACATCTCCTAATGATGTGCAGCTATGGATCTAGCAAATGCCTTTTCTCAGTAGCTGTCCGTAAGGACCATCACGAGCAATGTGCTTTTCAGTTGACAGTATACCTTGACAAATTCAACTCTCCGGTACTCTGTCATAACTTAGAAGGAATCTTGATTCCTCTCTCACACACAAAACATCAGACTAGTCTACTACATTGATGACATTATGCTGATTGGACCAGGTGAACGGGAGGCAGCAAACACTTGGGACTTGGAAGCATATATGTATATCAGAAGATGGGAAATAAAACCAACCAAAATTCAATGGCCTTCTACCTCAGTGAAATTCTTACGAGGCCGGTGGTGTGGACCATGCAGAGATGTTCCTTCTAAGGTGAAGGGGAAGCATTGCATCAAGAAAGAAGCACAGCAGTTGGTGGGTCTATCTGGATTCTAGAGACAGCAAATTCCTTACTTGGGTGTGTGACTTTGGCCCGGTACATCAAGTGACAAGGAAAGCTGCTAGCTTTGTGGAGGGGGAGTGGGGGCTGTAACAGGGGAAAGCTCACAGGTCCAGGCTGCTCTATCACTTGAACCACATGATCCAGCAGACCCTATGGCATTTGTGTCAGTGGCAAACAGAGATGCTGTTTGGGGCCTTTGGCAGGCCCTATAGGTGAATCAAAGAAGAGACCTTTGGGATTCTGGAGCAAGGCTCTGCCATCATCTTCAGACAACTATTCTCCTTTTGAAAAGACAGATCCTGGCCAGTTACTGGGTCACCAAGTTACCATGAGATCTGAGGGCCCATCCTGAGCTAAGTATTATCGGAACCACCAAGCTATACAACAGGATGCGCACAGCAGCAATCTACTATCAAACGGAAGTGTAAACACATGATCAGGCTCGAGCAGGTCCTCATAGCACAAGCAAGTTACATGAAGACGTTTCCCAATTGTACATGGCTTCTACTACTCTTGTTACAATGCCTTCTGCTCTCAGGCATGTACCTATAGGCTTCTGTGGTGAGCCCTATAATTAGAGAGAGAGAGAAAGAGAGAAACAGACTAGACCAAGTAAGGGCTCTTGAAAGGTCAAAGCCCACTCCCCAGTGAACACACCTCATCCAACAAGGCAAACCTAATCCTTCCCAACAAACATAAGAGCCTATGGGGGGGCATTCTCATTCAAACCCCCACACCAATTTAAACAAGTAAACCATATTAACATTCTTTTGGATTTCAAAGTCATCAAGTTTTAACCTGTTAAGGTAACAGCAGATTTTCCTTCAATAGATTTAAGAGCAATTGCAGGTTCATAGCAATACTGAACAGGAAGAACAGAGAGTTCTCATTTACCTCCCACTTCTACACACACTCTGCCTCCCCCACTGTCAACAGTCCCATCCAAGCGCATCACCTGCAATCACTTAGTACGCAGTCTTCCCAGAGAGACTGCACTTCAGGTTCCTTCATGTCTTTTCTGGCTAGAGAGCTCACTGCTTTTCAGGACTCAGTAACATCCACTGCCTGGATGCACCACACTTTGTATCTCCACTTGTCTACCGAAGAACACCTAAGTTACTTCAAACTGTTATCAATTGCTAATAAAGCTGGCACAAACATCCATGTATAGGATTTTGTAAGCATAAATATTCAAGTCCTTTAGGCAGATACCAAAGCATAAGACTGTATGACAATAGTATATTCAGTTTTGTAATTGCAAATATTTTAAGTTAAAATAGTTATTTTCTGATGTGGGATTCCCCTCTGTATGCTATAAATATGTTTTATTACCATTGATTAATAAAAAAGCTTTCTTTGGCCTATGGCAGGGCAGAAAGAATATAGGTAGGTGAGAAAACTAAACTAAATGCAGGGAGAAAGAAGGTAGAGTCAAAGAGACACCATGTAACCACCAAAGGAGTAACATGCCCGAACGAGTAAGCCACAGCCTACTGGCAATACACAGGTTAGTAGAAACAGGTTAATTTAAGATATAAGAGCTATCTAGGAATACGCTTGAGCCATTGGTCAAACAGTATTGTAATTAATATAGTTTTTGTGTGATTATTTGGGTCTGGGTGGCCGCAAAATGAAAGAACAGTCTCTGCTTACAGTCTTCTTCAGTATAATTTTTTAAATGGCAAGGGCCACTCCAATACATTACAATAAATAATCTATTAAGATAACAATAAAAAGATAGCATCTATCAGTCAGAAACACACTGCCTAAGATTTAACAAAACAAATAATGTCTTCCTTGTGGCTCCTGCACACATTATAATATCTAGCACAAATCAGTACAAAGTGTTGACAAAGACAGACACAGCAATGGTTATTTCAGATAAACAGACATTAACCATTTCTGTACAGCACTTAGATGGTTAAAAAAAAGAATGTCCAAAGGAACACTATTTCCAGTATATATTCTTTGTTTGAAACAGTTTTGTTATAGCCCAAGCTGGCTTTAAACTCAATCCTCTTGAACTGAGTTTCTCAAGGGCTGGGGTCACAGACATATGCCTAGTTGCTCTTCCATGCCTTTAACTAGTGTATGACTAAACACAAGTCTTTGTCTCAGCTGGACTTCAGAGCAGATGTAGATATTTACAGGGACTGGTAACTTCTTTGTAAATTGCCAGGTATGGACATTTAATGAAATATAGTTCCTTACTGTTTCATGAGAAACTGACATTTAAAAGTTGTTCCTGGGAGCTGGAGAGACGACTCAATGGTAAGAGTGTTGCCTGCTCTTCCAAAGGTCCCGAGTTTAATTCCCAGCAACCACATGATGGCTCACAACCATTTATAATGAGATCTGGAGCCCTCTTCTGGTCTACTTGCATACACATAGGCAGAACACTGTATACATAATAAGTAAATAAATCTTTAAAAAGAGTAGGTTCCAAGACAGCAAAGGCCACACAAAGAAACCCTGCCCCAGAAAAAAAAAAAGTTGTTCCTAGCTATATTATTGGAGTGACATTCTACCAAAGCAACGTACCAGCCAAGGTGGGCTATCATTCTTACACTAGACCAAATATTAACTGGAATGAGACACTGGTGGATGAGGAACTAGGCAGGGAAAACCAAATGGGGAAGAAACTGCAGACCAGACTTCTGCTGGATGTTCAGCCCTGCTGCCGCTTCAGCAGAAGAGCACAAAGGGCTGGCTTTATGGCCAACTGCCTACTGGACTTCACTCACTAAACTGAGAAAGTCAACTTCTTGCTTAGGCCTGCAGGATTTCTGCATTCACATTCCACTTACCCGGATCAAATCGGGGCTGATTTGGGAACTCCACTCATTCAAGGTCTTTTGGATACAGTCTCGAAGCTGCAAAAAGCATCGTTTTCAAAGTTAATCAATGGCTCTCCATACCCAGTACTCAGTAAAGATGCATTAGTAAGTGAAGGAGGGGAGGAGGTGTTAATAGAAAATTCTAAGCAACCCAGGCTTAATTCTATAAGATTTTTTGTCTCCTACACTATAAAGTCAAACCTTGCTCTTATTTATTTATTTATTCATTCATTCATTCATTCATTCATTCATTTATTTTTGAGGCAGAGTCCACATAGCCCTGGCTATCCTGGAACTCACTCTGTAAGACCAGGCTGGCCTCAAACTCACAGAGATCCTCCTGCCTCTGCTCCCAAATACTGTATTAAAGTGTGTGCCACCACACCTGGACCTTGATTCGCTGCTGGCTTAAGTGGTAATCTCATTATTTTGATGGTGATTTTGTACCAGTGAAACCTTAAGACATTAAAGTATTTACAAGTAAACTAAGATTTTATTTCAAGAATAAAGTTATAAAAAGACTCAGGCCAGGTTGTAGAGCACAAAGCTCTAACTCCAACATGCAGGAGGTGGAAGCACGACAAGCTCTGAACTAAATAACTGAGCCTTTAGATCTAAGTGTGGAGTGTGAACAGAAATCACGTAAACCCGTCCCTATGCTACGCTCCTCAAAAACAAATACTGCGCTGCCCTGAAGGCTCAGCAGTTCCGAGCACTTGTCAGCTCCCAGCACCTACATCAGGCAGCTCCAGTACCAGGGATCTAATGCCTGCTTCTGGCCTGTGGGCAACTACGTACATGTGGTGCATACACAGATAAGCGGCACAAACACACATACACATAAATAAAAATAAAATTTTAAAATGGAACAAAGAGTAAGTATAGCTGGAGGAACTTCTAGATTAGATTTACCTGCGTTATATTATTAAAAATTCAAACCTAGGGCTGGAGAAAAGGCTCAGTGGCTAACAGCACTGGTTATTCTTCAGAGGATCCAGGCTCAATTCCTAGGACCCATTCTGCAGCTCACAAGTGTCTGTTACCTCCAGTTTCAGATGAACCAACACCCTCTTCTGGCCTCCACAGGGATCAGGCACCAAAGTGGTGTACTGACATATATACAAGTGAAACACACACATACTTGTTTTTTTTTTTTTAATCAATCTTGGTTCAGGGACATGGTGCAGTAACAGAGCAGCTGCCCAGCATCCCTGAGTCCAGCCATTGGTTCAGTCTCCAGCATCAAAACTCGTAAACATTCAGACTCCAAGCTCAGTCACGGATCTGCTGAAGACTCTTAATAACACCCAGAACTTTCATTTTAACAAACATTCCAATCGCTACATAATTCTACAGCCTGAAAAGCTATCAGCATGAATCACCTTGCATCATGACAATCTGTAAATCATCTCCTAACACACGGGGCACTTCTTACCTTATCTCCAGTGTTTTTATAATTTTTATACCAACATCACTGTATGCTGTAAATTAAAATATGCATTTGTATTTATCTCAGTGACAGTGATCTCATATAAGATGTATATTTATTTAATGAGCAAAGACCTAGATATACATAACAGAAAAAACTAGAAATGCTATTTATTACTATCTACTAAGTATGCTAGTGATATCATCTTATGCCATTTCATTATTCACTAAACTTGCTTTTAAGTTTATATTAGATTTACCAATTTTATGTTATGTGTGCTTTGCCTGCATATATTATGTACGCCATGTATGTGCATGGTGCCCGTGGAGATCAGAAGAAGGCATTGGGTCCCCTGGAACTGGAGTTACAATGGTTGTGAACCACGAAGTGGGTGCTGGAAATCAAGCCCCAGCCCTCTGCAAGAGTAACAAGTGCTCTCAGCTGCTGAGCCATCTCTCCAATCCTCACCTAACTCATTTTTAAAATGTATTATCTTGTTTTATTGTGTACAGGCAGTCAGAGGACAGTGTTCAAGTTCTCTCCTACAGATGTGTGGCAGGAGTCAGTCTCAGGCTGTCCTGCCTGGAGGCAAGTGCCTGCTGAGCCACCGTGTGGCCTGGCCCTGAACTTACTTCTGATCACTCATTAACCAACTCTGCAGCTAAAAAACAGTTGAGGGCACAGAGGTTCCAATGCTGTGGCAATCAATGGAAAGGGAAATCAGTAACTAAAAGTCCGAGTTGCAAAAGCATTTTCTCAATGGCAATAGGGACAAATTTTTGAACTCACTATTTCACCTATGCCTGCTTATGATAAAGATTAATATGACGTGCATTTTACCACTTAGGTACCATTCAAAGTAACAGAGCCACTTAGATTAATATTTGTGCCACCCATAATAACTCATCTAGATTCAAGTTACAAGATCTGTATTGTTATGCAAAGCATAATTAAATTAAAGTCAGATGAAAACTATCTGATAATCTTTTCCACACAATTACTATATACATTTGTTTCTTTAAGTTTTAGAGGCTTTTATTTTGTTTTTTAGTTTACAAAGAATTAAGTTTCATTTCTGTGTTTTTCTGAACAGAATTTGCTGTTCCCTTCCTCCTTATTCCCATCCCTCCCCTTCCCTCACGCCCTCCTTCCTCAATTCCTCTCCACTTCTTGCTACACAGGACCTTCTGTCCTCTTCAGCACCTCGCGCTCCTCCTCATGGCCGTCTTGGTTTAGTCTCTGCTCTCTGGCAGCTCCTTATGTACACAGCGTATGTGTGGAAGAGGTCAACGTCTTCTTACAAACCAGTAAGCGCAGACACAGCAGGATGGATTAGAGGTGAACAACCTATGAGCAGCGCTTTAGCTCCCATCTTGGAAGTATTCTAAGGTCCTTCCCTCAGGGAAGACGAGTGGTTCGTACAGTAAGGCCCTGCTGATGAATCCCCCAACCCAAGAAGACAAACTCATCTTTAAAGAAGTGGCCTCTTTTCTGAAACCATATTTGCAACAAACATTTACTAAATGGACACCAGGCCCAGATACAGTACTACAACCTCCTGCCCTTTGAGAGTTGTCATTCTAGAAGAGACAACAGTTAAAAGAAATAAATTGTGGGCAGTGTGGGAAAATTCAGAAGAGTGTAAGGAGTGTCCCGAGGGCAGGAACTACAACTTAAAAGAGAGCGCACAAAGACTTGACAGTGAAGAAAGACATTAGGAGAGGAAGTAAGTGAGCAGTGAAGTGATGTGGAGGAAACTCAGGTAGATGAGCAGTAAAACCGAATATTTTAAGTATAGTCTACGCAGGGAAGCAGTGTGGACTGCACTTGACCAGCGCACAGCGGTTACAGAAAGGGTGGGAGCAGGCCGACGGAGAAATCTGCCTGCTATTCCTTGTGGCTCCTGGAAGCTTGGTGTTTTTAGAGGGAAAGTAGTGTCTCTCTGACTTAAGCTGAAAGAGATCTATCTGGCTGATCCATTACAATCCACTGGAATTGTCCAAGATAAAGGTAGGAATTCCAACCAGTAACAGCAATTCAAAAATAGTGATGGCTTCCCAAGAGCCATAGCAGTGGAGGGAAGCAGGAGGCAGTTCTGGAAGTGCATTCCCAGCATAGCATACAGGATTTATTTGATTCAAAAGTGTGAAGGATCAGAAGAGAGTTGAAAAGTGACTCTAATTACCTAATCTAGGTGACACAAGCCTGTAATCTTAGGGAGTCTGAGACAGGAATGTCATGATTTTGAGACCAGCTTGGGCAACATATTTGAAGACTCTGTTTCAAAGAATGAATGACCAAATGAGTAAGTAAACAAACAAAAGAGAAAGGAGGGTGGTAGGAGAGGGAAGGAGAGATGGAAGAAAGCAAAGCAGAGAGAAAAGGAGGACAGGAGGGGAAAGGAAGGAGCAGAGACGGACTACATTGCTTTTAGCCACCACTGCTAGGTGACTTGTACCACTGAGATGGGAATAAAGCATGAAAAAATTTGTAGAAGTGAGTTTTGGATATATGAGGCTGGTGGTACCTATGATTCAATCCTACTCAAAGCTCAAACAGACAGTGCAGGCAGGGAGTGCTGGCATGTGGGAGGTAGTGGCAGCAGATCTCCATCAGTCTGAAGTCAGCAAGCTCTATATAGTGAGTTTCAGGCCAGTCAGGGGTACATCAAGATTCCTTGTCTCAAAACAAACAGAAAATCAAATAGTCAAAAGGTACAGCAGGCTAGGAGATGTGAATTCGCCTGATGTCAGGAGCTAGATTTTGCTTTAAGCTCTGATGTTGCCGTCAGCCCCACAACCATGAGTGAAGAGAAAGAAGACGGACTCTAGTACAGTGACTTTCTTCTTTCTCATGGCTCCTCCTAGGTGGTCAGCCGCATCAAAGTGCCCAGCCACCACCAATGAACGGAACTGTGACCTTTCTATGGGATACATAGGCACAGAAGTTACTGCCGACGCCCTGAGTGAAGAGTGGAAGGGTAATAGGTATGATCAGTGGTGGGGATGGCAAATGGGGTCTCTTCACGAAGCAGGCCGTCTTGACCTTCATCAGGTCCTGCTGTTGCGCAGGGGCGTTCTTACTATAGATCGAGGAGAACTGCTGCAAGAGAGTGCATGTCTGTTCGGGATACATTCTGGATGCCAATTTGAGCGTTCTCAGCTTGGTTATCATAAAAAAAAAATGAGAAAGTTATTCCCAGATTGCCAGATACTACGGTGCTGCGGTGGTTGAGGCGGAGCTAGCAGAGCCCTCAGCCTTCTCAAGCCCTGTGAAGATGAGGTCCACTAACGCTGTCATAAAGCCCTTAAACAAAGAAGCACCCATAGTTCACCATCTTGTCATTCTACCTGGAACACAGTCACCAACTGCTTTGAAGAAACAATACTAGGAACAATGAGGCTGCAGAATACACGAAGCTTTTGGACAAGAGAATGAAGAACGCCAAGGAATAACATCAGGGACAGACTGCCAAGACATGTGGGCTGTCCTCGCTGAGAGCTTCTACTTCTGGGTCTGGACAAAATAAGAATCTCTGAGCCTTCCTTCCTAGCCCATCTCCTTTGTGCCCACCTCTCCTGCAAAAGGCCCTGAGAAAAGGAATTCAGTTGAAGCACAAGACAAA